TTAGAGGTAACTAGTAATTGTAACAAAGTATATTTTAAAGTAAGCTTCCCAACCCTGATGATAACAGTAACGGATGAATGCTACAGTTTGAGGTGATGGGAATGTGTTGCGATCCCTCAAACAGCTCCTGTGCCCTGTGAAGCCTCTCAGGACACTGATTGGTCCTTTGTGTCCGCTCTGTGGTTTCCAAAGCTGACGGCCTCCTCTGGCGAGCAGTGGGACCCTGCCAGGACCCTTTCCCAGCTCTGCAGCACTTTGTGAAGCGCGACATGCTCATTTCAGCACGACAGACTCCGCTCCAGCCAGCACACAAACACAAAAGACAGCTTCATTAGGATTCCAAGGAACTACAGAATCCCTCTTCAAGCCATATTTATCTAGACAATTTAGCACGGTCGGGCCCCTCAACTGGAACCTCCAGGCCCGTTCCTGCACCTCAGGCCTCAGAGAGTTTTCATCTCACAGAATGAAAGCAGCCCCTCCTCTGATGAAATCACTGCCTGTTTTTGGTGTTTTGAAAATCAATTTGAGTTCTTAGCTTTTGCTAAAGCAAGTAGGATTTTCCAAGACAAACATAGGCAAGGCAAGGCAAGTTTATTTATATAGCACCTTTCAACACAAGGCAATTCAAGGTGCTTTACAAAAATGAAAGACATTCAGACAAAGGCATTTAAAAACAGTAAAAGATAATAAAAGAAACATTAAAAGAAAAAATACATGAATAAAAAGCACATGAATAAAAAGTTACAGTGCAGTTTAAGATATGAATAGTTAACACAGAAGTTCCACTTTACTGATGAACACAACGGCTCAGTTTCAATTAAAAGCAGCGACAAAAAAAAAGTCTTCAGCCTGGAATTAAAAGTAGTCAGAGTTGCAGTGGACCTGCAGGTTTCTGGGAGTTTGTTCCAGATATTTGGAGCATAATAACTGAACGCTGCTTTACCATGTTTAGTTCTGACTCTGCGGACAGAAAGCAGACCAGTCCCTGAAGACCTGAGAGATCTGGATGGTTCATAATTTAGCAGAAGATCAGAAATGTATTTTGGGCCTAAACCATTCAGTGCTTTATAAACCAGCAGCAGTATTTTGAAATCTATTCTTTGACACACAGGAAGCCAGTGTAAAGACTTCAGAACAGGAGTGATGTGATCCACTTTCTTAGTGTTAGTGAGGACTCGAGCAGCGGCGTTCTGAATCAGCTGCAGCTTTCTAATAGATTTTTTAGTGAGACCAGTGAAGACACCATTACAGTAGTCGAGTCTACTGAAGATAAAAGCATGTACAAGTTTTTCCAAATCCTGCTGTGACATTAGTCTTTTAATCCTAGATATGTTCTTTAGGTGATAGTAGGCTGATTTAGTAACTGTTTTAATGTGACTGTTGAAACTCAGGTCAGAGTCCATGACTACACCTAGATTTCTGGCTGTATCTGTTGTTTTGAACATTGCAGGCTGAAGCTCAGCGCTAACTTTTATACGTTCTGCCTTGGCTCCAAAGACCATTACCTCAGTTTTGTCTTTGTTTAATTGGAGAAAGTTCTGACACATCCAGTCATTGATTTGTTCAATGCACTTACTCAGTGTTTTAACTGGAGCATAGTCTCCTGGTGAAATGGTTATGTAAATGTGTGTGTCATCCGCATAGCTATGGTAACTTATTTTGTTGTTTTTCATTATCTGAGCCAGTGGTAGCATGTAGATGTTAAAGAGAAGAGGCCCCAAGATGGAGCCTTGAGGAACCCCACATGTCATATTTGTCAACTCAGATTTGTATTTACCTATTTACCATTTCTGCAACATAGGTCTTGTTTTTGGGGATACTAATTCAATATGAATCACAGTAGATAATTTCATGTATATGGAAAAAGCTCATCACAGACTAAATATATAGGTTACTTACGTAACCCCAGTTCTCAGAGTAACATGAAGTGATATGTCTCACTATGGGATGCGCCTCAACGCGTATGCAAACAGAAGCATCAATCTCATTACGCCAATCCTGATTGGCTGGTGATCTTGACGTCTACGTCAGGGAATCCACCCACCCTTTAAGTAGCTTGCGCTACGTCGCAGCGTCATTCAAAATAAGCACCTCTTCTCGCTTCGCCTTAGCAAGAACTTCATGTTACTCTGAGAACTGGGGTTACGTAAGTAACCTATAGTTCTCATTCATAACACTCCGTTCGATGTCTCACTATGGGATATTGAAACTCCCGTATTGCTAGACATGCTTATCTCGAAAATCACCAAAACAACCAGAACTTAACAGGTAGAACCCTGTCTCAACACTAGGCCCAGCACTGCGCGGGCCACACTTGGAGCAGAGACATCTAGCCTGTAGAAGCGGACAAAAGTGAGCGGTGAGGACCAGCTCGCTGCTGCACAAATGTCTTGGATGGAAACACCCTTGAACAAAGCCCAGGATGTAGCCAGTCCACGAGTAGAATGAGCACGCAGGCCCGTTGGTGCCTGCAAACCCTGACTCGTATAAGCCAGAGCAATCGCTTCCACAATCCAGTGGGAGAGCCGTTGCCTGGTAACGGGCTTGCCCTTCTGATGGTTAGCCCAGGATACAAAGAGTTGGTCATTGCATCGAAACTCTCTTGACCTGTCCATATAGGTGCGTAAAGCACGGACTGGGCACAGCAAATTCGGCCGCTGTTCCTCAGAGGAACACAGTGGCAGAGGAAATGCCTCAATGTTAATGGGGATACATGAGCCAACCACCTTAGGTACAAAGGCAGGGTTGGGCTTCAGCAACACTCTCGTTTGCCCCGGGGCAAACTGAGCGCATGAATGTCACTGACTCGCTTGGCAGATGCCAGAGCCAGTAACAACACTTTCTTCAGTGACAGGTGTTTCATGTCAGCTTCTTCCAGGGGTTATCAATCAGGTCCTGTAGAAATGATAGAATCACCACGACAGGACATTGAAAAGAGATGTGTCCTTTTTGAAGGCACCACTCCTCAAACACCCTTCACTTACAGTCATAGAGGGACCTGGTGGAGGAAGCTCTTGCACTCTGAATAGTGTTTATCACCTTCTGAGGGAGTCCCACTGTATTCAGGTTATACCACTCACGGGCCAGGCCCATAGTGCCAAGCGCTCTGGGTGTGGGTGAAAAATCGTCCCCCCCGCCTGAGACAGTATGTCCCTGCATAGCGGGAGCTGCCACGGCTGCCCGCACAGCAGCTGATATATCTCCGCCAGCCCCAGCTTGACACAGCGCGGGGCTCCGCTCTCGCGGCTCTTGCCGCCACCGGGCCCCAGCCTGACACGGCGCGGGGCTCAATCTCCGCGGCAGTCGCCACCATGTCCCGATTGCCGGTCGGCGAATCAACGGACATGAAGGGGTCCCGTCCCGACAGGCTAGCTTGGCGCGCTAGCCGTCGGCGGAGGCTCTTGATGGTGAAGCGGGCACAATGTCCGCACAAACCGAGGGTATCGATAGCTTCCTGGGCGTGTTCCAGCCCAAGGCAGGACGAGCAGACCTGGTGTGAGTCCGTGCCCGAGATCCTAAACCCGCAGCCTCCGAGCCTCCGACTCCTCTGGTGTGAGGGAGAGAAGGGTCCATCCTCGTTTGCCGGGGTGTCGGCGCGGAGGGACAAGATAGAAACAGGTATGTTATCGAAAAAAATCCAACCTTATCGTTATTCCGTTAAAGGAAAAAACGACGGGGTAGATTATTCTTTAAAAAATATTAACTGGTGTGTTAATATCTTTCTTATCTCCATCTCCTCTGGTGTGAGGGAGAGAAGAGTCCGTCCCTGCTCGCCGTGGTGTCGGCGCGGAGGGATAAACTAGCAACAGGTATGTTACTGTTTGAAGAAAAAATCAAACCTTACCGTTATTTCGAAAGAAAAAATGGCGGGGCAGATTACAATATTAACTGGTGTGTTAATATTTGTTCAATTCTTCTGTAAAGCAAAAAAGTAACCGGCAAGCGCCCGTCGACCGAATGTTAGCTTGGGTTCAGTCTGTGGACCGTTAAGCTAGCCCGGCTACTGATATTCGAGATGTGCTCTGAAGCGAGAAGAGGTGTTTGAATGACGCTGCGACGTAGCGCAAGCTACTTAAAGGGTGGGTGGATTCCCTGACGTAGACGTCAAGATCACCAGCCAATCAGGATTGACGTAATGAGATTGATGCTTCTGTTTGCATACGCGTTGAGGCGCATCACATAGTGAGACATCGAACGGAGTCTTATGAATGATAACTGCTTTTTATTTCCTTGAAAACATCACTGATCACTAACTGAGCTGATGTTTTGTCTTTTTTCACATGTTTTCAGTTGCTGTGTTTCAAGAAAGATTTAGGAGTTTTTGGGTTGTTCCCTTTCCTGAAAGGGAACAAAGCATGTTTTTTTAAAAAAGCATTTTACTGTTCTGCAAAGGCTAAAATCCCTGTGTTTCCTCCAGAGAGAGTTTATCTCCCACACACTCCAAAAATGTATCTCTTAATTTATAGGCTTGGCCTACAGAATAGTAAAGTTAACAAATGCTGTTTCAGTTTAATACTTGAATTAGAAGCAAACTCATCATTTAGTTAAATGATGAGGTGTTCATTTACTTGAAAACATTTTAAAATAAAGAATGAAGGTAGCCTGAATTAGGACCAAAAAATAAACCCAGGCAGTACTTGGATACTATTTTGATGTTAATCTTGAATGTATTGTTGCATTGTTATCTTGCTAGTAATCCCCATTTTTTACATTTTTATTTGAATTACCAGTAATCTGATTATGTATTTTTTCAAGTAACTCTAGGGTTTTACAGTTAAAAAAACTTGTTCTGTTATGAGTTGAAATGGTGGAAGAAAGAACACAATGTTCTGCTTAAAAGTACATATCCTTCAAACTGGAATGTGGGTATATACATCCTGCTCCAGGAACATGATATTATATAACTTTTTTCTGCCAAAGTACTTGCTAAACAGTCACGAGTGAATACTCCCTTTGGGGTTCTGTCTCCTCCCTTCCTCCCCCATATAAACCCCACTCTCCTGCTCACAAACAGTCCCACTGCACACTTCCAAGACTTGTTCTAAATAAATCAAGGGTTATAATTCACACGCCAACTGACGCTACTGAGGTAAGCCACATTTGTTTTATTCATAACTTGTGTCAGCATTGTATTAAAGTAATTGTTTCTACTATGAACATCACTGAGTCATATTTAAATATGTGTAACATGATCAGGCAAATCGTCCCTGAAATGAGCCGTGTGCACATATGGTGTTGTTTCAGGTTTTGGCAGCATGGCAGGCTTCATGTCTCTGATGTGCTGTGTGGCGGCTCTGACTGCAGGGACAGTGACTGCAGGTGAGAAACAACCTGACACTGACACACATGGAACATGCTCTTTCGGACTTTACATTGCATTTAGCTGACGCTTTTGTCCAGAGCGATGTGCAATAAGCCATAACTCAGAACAACAAGAAAAAGTGCTGACAAATGTAATTCAAACAAGCAATACATTGTAAGTGCTGCTGCATAAGTTAAATTCTTAAGAGCAACTTTTCTTTAATTTTCTATTTAATGGCCAAGGTACACGCTAAACAAGCTGTCTTTGTATCATGTGATTTGCATTGCCAAAAAAAATACATCTCATTCAGGACTTTTACTAATGTTCATTGTATAATAACATTGTCCTCATTTACTTGCCATTGTGTTGAGCTGGGATATGTGTGATGGATGAACCTGTTTCACTTGATGCTCTTCATGTCAGAACTTATTGTTTCTTTCCTCAAGAATGCATCCCACAACTTTACCTGCAATAGTCAGTACTGTTTTAACTTAATAGCTATCAAAATTGTTGGAGTTTTAATGTTACTGCCTCTAAGTGCTAAATAGGCAAACTGAAAATAACATAAGTTTCCCTTTATGGTGCCTTTATTCCATCAACGTTATGCAAACTGCTCACTTTCTGCTAGGTTTTGTAGTTTTTGATTCATAAATTGGTGATTAAGGTCCACTATCCCCAAAAAATAATGATATATCCTGTAAACTCAAAAGTGGAGGGATGTTGATATAATCATGTTTAAAACTCAGTTTAGCCCTCCTGTTGTCTTCGGGTCAAATCTGACCGATTTACTTTCATCAATCATAACTTTTTTGTTTTACATTCGATTGCATTAATATGGGCTCAGAACAGTCTCATAATACACACATGCACACAGAAGGATTCACACTTGTATTTCATGATCCGCAAAAGGATTCACACTTGTATTTCCGGATCCACACTTGTGTTTTTCAATGCACACACAAATGTGTTCCGTTTCATATACATGTAAATAAAATCCAAATACAGAAATAAGTTTTACATGTGTATTTTTGATCCTCACATATTAGTTTTCCGTATAAAACTTCTGAACCTGCAAACACAAACCGCTTTCTGTGCACGGATCGCTGTGCATTCGTGTGTGGGTTTTTTGAGACTCCCCTGACGGTCAGCCGATTCCTACTTGTAATTGTTTCTATCGATAGCCAATCAGATGTCTCCTCCATTCTAAGCCAATCACATGAGCGCGCCCCCACGAGGGTATGATTTTTTGCGTTCATGACGTAGCGCTTCATGTAGGCCTACGCATTTTGCGCAGTCCGGACAGCTCGCCAAACAGAGGGCGGAGCATCAGGTGATTATGCAGAGCTGCGTGTCTCCGTCAGACTCAGCAGCTGATCTGATCTCTCTCTCGCGTCCGGTTATACTTCACTCGCGTTTGTTACCTTTTTACTAACGGTATCTCGGCACCGAAACCGTAGTTTCGGTTACACACCGGTGGTTTCTGACTTGGCTCGTTGTCAGCCGGTAACCAGCTGCCCAGTAGTGATGGCAAAATGAAGCTTTGAATGAAGCGTCAAACCACTTGGACAATTGTGTCGGAAATAGGTTCATTTCTCGAAGCTTCAGTTACAGCGACCTCTCCTGGCGAAGTGCAAGGCTGCAGTGGGTTTAACGTATCTTTGCCTTGAAAAATATTCGATGCACACACACACTAAGACTGAATATCATGTTCTATTTGCAATTAAAGATTGATAATTGTGTGTATTGGGTTATTGAGAAGAGACTAGAGAGTGCTAGACATGTTTTTGGGCGGAGAGGGCCTTTTATCAGTTATTAAAGTTGAAAAGCAATGATTAAAATACGTCCATTCCGGGATTTGAACCAGCTACGCGGAGGACATTGCCGCATTCGGGCCGCCGGCTTTACCCACTGGGCTATCTATTCCTTGAAATATTGAACTGTTTTCATATTACTGATAATTGTCTTTTTGTTCACAACTTCTCCACATTTCGAAGTGTTTCCCGAGCCAGAACGACCTATCTTTCTTCCTGGCTTGCTCTATAATGATATCAAATGCAATACCAACAACAACTCAACAGCAACAACGCAAACTACGACAACAACCCACACATTGTGCATTATTTAGAGCGGTCATAAAGTGTTGAAGCACTCAAGTTTGAAACTTTTTCAACCTGTCACCTGTCAGAATCGAGACGAGGCAGTGCATTGAATCGCGTGAATGGACCGCGAACCAGTCAGTTGATTCATTCAGGAAATGAAGCAGTTGCTGCTTCGGACGTCACATGTCACGTGATTCGAAACAGTTGCTGCTTCGGACGTCATATGTCACGTAATTTGAAGCAAACTTCGAAGCACTGCTTCTATGGAATAGGAAGTCCAGGGTTGAAGCTCCGTTCGAAGCTTCAGTGTCAAACTGCCATCACTACTGCCCAGACATTTCGAAGGGAAAAGGGATGCAAACGGGGCATTCGTGTGCCGTGGGAAGAACCTCTGTTTATTCCATTCTTCAGACTAATCAGTTACATTGACACTGTATTGCATAGGCCTACATACAGACTAGTTACTTTTCCCGTTCTGACCACTTTCTCTATACTTTCGTCTCTCTCTTCATAACTCCGCACTTCGCCTTGGCCATCACATTTTACACACACACACTCCAAAAATCCACAACCCCTTGCGGCTGCTACTCTTAAAGTGACAGGCCAAGCCTGTAACACGTTTATGTCCATATCGATCAGATCCAGCTCTCCTGATCGGCCTTTATAGAGAGCACCGATCAAACTATTAAGAGTGAATATCTGCCGATAATGACCGGCGGGGCTCCCCCCGTTGACAGTTCACTGTCTAGCACTGGCTTCGTAGTGCACTGATCGATTAGGCTAAGCGAACCTGTAGCTGCTCCCTCCACACTCACAACAACTTCATACAGACATAAATAAAGCAGCTGTATTCGCCATGTAGGAAACACACATTTAAAACGGTTTTGCCTGCCGTTTTTGTGTACACAAGCATTCATCAATGGTTCGGGAAGTGGCGCTGTACCTTAATAATATAAAGGCTTGTATTTGCGTGCATTTTCTGTTCGGAAAGTGTCAATGTACTGAGAGTGGTGGTGTCCTGACACATTAGCGCCTGCAGGCAGGCTCCATGGACCTGTCAGCTCCGGACTGCGGAAAATGCGTACATGAAGCGCTACGTCATGAACGCAAGAAATCTACCCTCGTGGGGGCGCGCTCATGTGATTGGCTTAGAATTGAGGAGACATCTGATTGGCTATAGATAGAAAAAATTACAAGTACGAATCGGCTGACCGTCAGGAGAGTCTCAAAAAACCCACACACGAATGCAAAGCGATCCGTGCACAGAAAGCGGTTTGTGTTTGCAGGTGCAGAGGTTTTAAACGGAAAACAAATATGTGAGGATCAAAAATACATATGTAAAACTTTTTTCTGTATTTGGATTTTATTTACATGTATATGAAACGGAACAGATTTGTGTGTGCATTGAAAAACACAAGTGTGGATCCGGAAATACAAGTTTGAATCCTTCTGTGTGCATGTGTGTATTATGAGACTGTTCTGAGCCCATACATTAAGGCTTTATGATATCCTTCACAGTAGACCTTTGAACATATACAATTGCTGACGACCACTTTCATTGCATTTTGGATGATTTAGTCAAATTTGTAACACCCATGGTGTTCCCGCTCAAAAATGACCACCATAAAGAAAAGGAATTAGTAACCATCCGGATCAGATAAAACACACACACAAACACCCACATACTCTAGATGTGTCCCCCACCCCTTATGTGCCCATCCCCCCATGTGAATCACACCTGGCACACAGAAACACACACACACAGAACAATTTGACACATTTCCCGCTCTTATGTGCTCACCCCCCCCCCCACATGGATCACACCTGGCACACGCAATACATGTTCAGTGTCTATTCTTTGTATATTTACTGCAGTTTCTCATGTATACCAGTAGTCTGATACCATATTTACAGTTTGAAAGGGTGTTAAATGAAATTTGGTGATGATTAATGGTTTTTGTGTTAATGTAATAGCAGTTAAAACAGGGCCGGTCAAATTTGACCGTGAACACCAAAGTAAGGGGGGGGGGGAACAAAGACAATAGGAGGGTTAATGGTGACTTTTGTTTTTGTGGTTGTTGGAGCCCAGTAGGTCTTTTGTATTATGTTATGTAGGACAATTTCGGACCTCCCAAACTACGTCCCAAACCAATGTGTTCTGTGTCAGAGCAGGAAGCTGTGTCCTTATTAGGTGTGAGGAGGTCTGCGGGGCACATCCTGTTTTCGTGTGGAAGACCAGAATGTATCAAATAACTACATTTACTTTCAGCTTGTTTAAAAAAAAATCAACATCTCCCCTTGTGTTGTGTTCAAAAACTGTTACCATTCATGGTGTTCGCGGGTCAATTTTGACACATGATTTATTTCAGTCCAAAACCTAAATTACTATCATCCAATATTGTTTTAACTACATCATAACTAACTTATAATGCATTCATAACCGTACAATCCTTTTGTAATTTAATTGTATTGCCCCAAAACACATTACACCACATATTGCACACGTGCATGTTCAGGTTCAAGTGCAAATATTCTTTGAGAAAGTTCGAGTTCCCCACAACAATTCTGCTGGGTCTTCCCAGACCCGAACACCAAATTATACACTTTTTTTTTTTTATAGACCTTCAGACTTGGCTAAAATTGTCAACATCAGTTTTGTGGTGTTTATATAGCTGTTGTGGAGGATATCATGAAGCCTTGTTCGCCTGCAAAAAACTGGAGCGTAGTAATTATATGATTTTAACTTGAAACGGGTCACGGGAGACCCGAACACAACACAAGGGTTACAACCGAAGCAAGTTGCCAAACCTTATAAATCAGCATAGAGCCCAACCCAAGCCATAAGGTAGTTGCCATGTGCTGATATTGTAGATAGGAAGACTTTTTAAAGATGAGTTATTTATTATCAATTCACGTATTTTTTCACGGTTTTGCAGAATTTCCTTTTTTCTTTGACCAAATTCTGTTCAAGTCAAACAATTTTGTCAGTTGCTGCTGATTTATTCTAGAATATGGACGAGGACTATTATGGCCACATGAGAAAATGTTCGTGACCTAAAGTGAAAAGAAAGTCAGAATTCTGAGATTTTCTGGAAGAAAATTAAAAAATGAAGAAAATAAACGTGTTTTTTTTTCTGAGATAAATCGGTGGTTTTAATCCTCTTCCGTACTAGAACGCTGCTTTGTGCTGCAAGTTGCTTTATGGTTCATGCCTCTAAGGTTTTCCCTCCAGAGCAGCCGTGGCTCTGCTCCCTGTCCACAGAACTAACCCGGCCCGGTGCCAGCGGGCTCTGGCTGGGTCACGCTCCCGAAGTGATTCCTCACATTTGACTCTCTGCCCGCTGACCCTGCTGGATTCGAATCAAAGCAGAGCGGGGCAGCATCTCATTTCTCACCAGTGGAGGGGCTACGTCCTAGCTGTGGTCCAGAAAGCACTGAGATCAATCAGTTAACCATGTGGGACGGAGACTCTGCAGGCGGAGAACTGACAGCCATCTCCGCACATCACGGTCCTGCCATCTTCCCCGGAGGAGGGTGATGGGGTGTCATGAGCTCTAAATGACACAACCAGGCTCCTCTTTTGTCATGGCACGCAATTATGAGGAACTTGCACCCCTGGCACCTCCGTTTCCCCCCCCCACCCTCCTTCCACGGACCCTGGCAGGGCATGTTAGGGCGCTCTGGACACGCTGGGAATGCCATTGGTCACAGTTACAGCTAAAAGAAAAACAACTCTGAGAGTCTTGGGGAATGTCAGGGGATGGGGTTCATCTTCTGCTTGGATTACATGGGGGTTGGGGGGGGGGGTTCTGGAACAACAGCCCAACTTTGATCCCCCATTGGAGGCCCAGTCACCCCCCCTCGCTCTGTACCTCACTATGGAGCCCCTTTCTCCAGGTCTCCTGAAAAACAACCGACCAAAAGACTGTCTTTGTCCTGCACTGGCTGTTTGGCTTATTTATGACTGTGGCTGAGAGAAAAACACATGAAGGGGACTCAAAGCAACAATATGCTTCATTAGGCTTTCAGAGGCTGCTCTGTATAAGCCTGTAGACATGAGACCAAAACCCCTAATAAGCCAAGGAACAGGCTTAGTCTAAATCCTCTCATCTTTGTGCTGCTGCTCATGCTTAATTACATCGACTTGCTTCTTTACAGATAATTTATTGTGATGCTTGTTTTTGTTTTCCATTCTAGATGCCAAGGAGTTATCCATCACCACTATAAAGGTATTCTTTCTTTGTGCCACTCTCTGCTTGAGAATGCCAAAGTGACAGAGCCATCTGTGAAACATAAATGTAATTACTAAGAGTCATTCTGGTTCACTAAAAAAGGTTTATAATTTGGTAGTTTGGTCATCATTTCTCTTACTTGAACTATACAATTGTACTAGCAAAGTTTAGAGAAAGCAAAGTGGTGTAGATCCCTGAGGTGAAGGAACATGATCAGTCAGAACATCAGACAGGATGTTACCAGGCTTTATATAAGCCGATTCTATTTATTTTGTTATGAGAGTTTTAGCTTCTGATATATACTTTGTGTGCAAGTAAATGATCCCTAGTTTAAGGTGGTTGGTTGTGCAAATAAGTGTTTTTGCATTTGCAAGAAAAGCTTCAGTATATCAGGAGCAGAACGGACAGTAGAGAAGTATTGTATGGAAGTCTATAAGAAAATCAACCTTCCTCTCACTTGATTTATTACTTAAGTAAATATTTTCCTAATGACATAATTGTCTTAATTGCTAGTTTCAAGTCTTCTTCAATACATCATCATGTTCATTTGTAAATGATGGTTCTATTTAGAGTAAAATGAACAATAAAGTTTACACTTTAGGGCGGGACTACCTTGTGATTGACAGGTTGCTACCACTGCATTGTCCGCTCTGGCTCTTATCCAAGTTTTCTTCAACCCTTTCACAGTTTGTTTTCAATTCTTGAAAGGTCTTTTTCAATGACAGTAGAGAAACCAGCATGTGTTTATAATGGCCAGCAGGGGGCACTGCAAATATTTATACAAGAAAAACAACCTACTTCTCACTGGTTTTATTACCTCACGAAATATTGTTATAATGCAATTGTTGGCTCAATTACTGGTTCCATGTCTTTTTTTAATACAGCATCATGTTCCTATTTAGAGGGAAATTGATGATAGAGCAGCAACTAGTAGGCAACTATTTTGGTTGCGTATAAATGTCATTCAGCGTTCAGTTGATATGAGCTCCAAAAGAACTTGATGGAGACGACGTCACAAACCCAAGATAACAATGACTAAAATCCTCAACTCAAGGCTTTAAAACCGTAGCAAAAGTGGTAACAGGGACAACGTCCACTTCCCATCCCAGCTTCTTGTCTATAATAAATGGGGTAAAAAAACTAGTGTAGTTAACATATAGTCACTCTTCCTTTTCCAACTTTCTCTAACTGTACCTATAAAAGTTCTTTACAGTGTTTCTGTTCATTCAGGGATTATAACATTTGAGTGCCCTCACTTTCAGCCCTACCCCTGAATAGAGTGGATTATTATCAGGATGAACTGTTGGATTAGACAGATGGTCTGACTGCTCCTGTTTCTACCTCGGCTGACATTGTTGTATCAAAGTCACGTGTTTCCAGATCTCCAAAAGGGACCTTGATGAATACAAAGTAATCATAACTAATATAAATGATAATGACAAATAGGTACAATATGTTTTACGCAAAAAATATTCCATTTTATAGTCTGGCCTTTATTCAATTATACATTTTCTTTACTTTTACTGGGAAGAAATTAATAATTTTACCTTTAAATACTGCTAGTGCATATCCTGAAAATCTTTAAATGATCCCTCTCATCTTGATATATCCCCACATTTAAAACAATGCACAAGGAAGGAAATCACAAACATTCTAAAATCATAAGATTATCCAAAAGATAACCAATTTATTGATTTAATCTTTTAAAAAGATATCCTCGTCATCTTTAAAGGATGGTGTTGCCTTAACTGTTGCTGCGTCGAGCTCCCCCTCAATGTATACTCCATGAGGAAATCATTTGTTTGTTCTGTTCTCCTCAGCAAGATCCGTACACCATGAGCAAAGGCCCCGAGCTGGAGGGATACTGCATCGACCTGATCTCTGAGCTCTCCAAGAGGCTGGGCTTCAGCTACAAGCTGCAGCTGGTGAAGGACAACCGCTACGGAGCCATGGACGCCAGCGGGAAGTGGAACGGGTTGATCGGGGAGGTCATCAGAGGGGTGGGTCACAGTGCTGGCTCTGCTTAAAGTATAGCAGCACAATCCTGTTGGAGCATAAACTACACTTTGTAATGTGTGTTTTAGCTTACCCAAAATATTCATAATGGTACATGTGGTGAGCTAAGTCTTCATATAAATGAAACAGCATGGATATTTAATTGAGTATATCTTTGTGTATGTATAAGCTTTTAAAGAAGCTCTTAATTGCTTTAAATGTGGCATCCCAAACTGGTGCAATCAGTACAACCTAATCTAGAAGTAAACACCCGAAGTTTTCAATTATATATGAATGAATTCAACTTTACCAATCCCATTGTCAAATATATACAGTATTTGGCTTGCAAGTGGTCAATTGAAATGGTTACCAAACATAAACGATATGGTTATTCGAAACCTTGTGCCCCCCCCCCCCCCATCAGGAGGCGGACCTGGCCGTGGCCTCGCTGACCCTCACGGCCACCAGGGAGCAGTTTGTGGACATGACCACCCCCTTCATGCAGACAGGCCTCAGCTTCCTCCTGCGCAGAGACAAGGCCTCTGAAGGGAGCAGCTTCAGCCTGCTGTCCCCCTTCTCCCCCAGCATGTGGGGGGGCATCCTCATCGCCTTCCTGTTGACAGGTCTCTGCATATTCCTGGTGGGCAGGTAAGTGCAAAATGTCCAAAGAAATTGTCATCAAACAATTTGATTCAGATTTGGGACTGAGACGCGTTGTGTTCAAGTGTGTATTGTATCCGAATATGAGGGTTCAAAGCTACTCTTTACAATGTAGGAGAAGTGCATGTTTGTGAAGCACGTTTCCACATCCCGATATACAAATCAGTGCTGGTTCTGAGGCCTTTCCTTTTTGTCTGCAGGATCAGTCCCACAGAATGGGCGGAGCCAGAGACAGAGGAGCACAGCTTCACTCTGCTGCACAGCTTCTGGTACCTCACCGGGGGTCTGACTCTGCAAGGTAAACTGCCCAGCAGGCACACACACACACACACACACACACACACACACACACACACACACACACACACACACACACACACACACACACACACACACACATACACACACACACACACACACACACACACACACACACACACACACACACACACTGCTGTCTCCTTCTGCAGGCTCTCTCAGAACGGTGGACACCTTATGAATTCACAGTATGACAAAATGGCTTAGAAATGTAGCTTATATATTTAGGATTTACAGTACTGTAGTGTAGGATTATACCCAAGAATATAATATCTTTATTTACAGTCAAAATATTCAATAAAAATACATACATCTAAAGAGGAATTGGTACCCTACATATTTTTTTAATACCTGAAATTGTACTCTTATTAACTCTTTGCATTAATGGAAATCAAAATACAGTTATAAATTCAATGATGAACATTTTCAATGTTGTAAAGTTTTGGTAAACTTGATGCACCATGCATTACCATTACGTTTTACATTCTCAAAGATTGGCGGAAAGTTATTTTTTGAGAAGTATTTTACAAACGCACTTATTGTAAGTCGCTTTGGATAAAAGCGTCAACTAAATGCAATGTAATGTAATGTAACAAAGGGAATTTTGAGTCAGATCAGTCATATTTCAATAACATCACACGAAAACAACATCAACAACTCAATGTTGTGATCATTGTCAGTGAACCGTGTCTGTATTCGGTATCGAGCTTACATTTATATGAGTATAAGTGCTAGCTTTAAAAGGAGTTGGTTTCCTGCAGTCCTGTGCAGCGTCCTCACTTTCCTCTCTGTCCTCACTGTCCTCCAGGTGCTGGTCCTCACCCCAAGGCCCTGTCTGGACGTGTAGTCAGCGCCATCTGGTGGCTGTTTGCTGTTCTGCTTCTGGCCAGCTACTTTGGCAACTTCACCTCAAAGCTTCACTCCAGCAAACAACTCCCTTTCGAGAGTTTTGAAGACCTTTCCAACCAGAATGCCATCGATTATGGCACCGTCGAGGGTGGATCCTCCATGTCTTTCTTTAAGGCAAATTTGGCCGCTCTTAAATACAGTTCAGAGTCATTACAGCTCATTCATACATGTGGTCTTGATTTAGTGCAGCCTTAGAATGCAGTCTTAAGGACAATGGTAAGATTAAAATGTTTAATTTTGTATTTTTTACTAGAATTCCAAGAACCCCGTATACCACCGTATCTACCAACACATGGAGCGTAAGAAGAGCTTCGTGTCCAGCATGGAGGAGGGGATTCGTCGAGCCCAGGAGGGAAACTTTGCCTTCATTGGTGAAGCTGTGTCTTTGGATTTGGCAACGGCTCGCTATTGTGACCTTCACCGTTCACAGGAAGTCATCGCGATGAGAGCCTACAGCATCGCAGCACCTGAAGGTTGGTGGTCCTGAACTTTGGGGATGTCTTCGCGTCTGACAGGTTGTGTAGTTTGTTAAAACATTGATTACAACTTTTTTCTTAAAGGTCACCTATTATGCAAAATGCACTTTTTGATGTCTTGTATACATAAATATGTGTCCCCGGTGTGTCAAAAAATACAACCCTCTCTTTTCCTCCTTACCACATGACATCTCTAAAAACGGGGGTTCAACGGAGCTGATCCAGATTTTCTGCCAACATGACGTAATATTGGAAATGTGGGCTGGCTTTACATTGAACTCTTTGGCAACGTCCCGCCCACGCCCCAACCTATTCTCCCCTATATACAGTCGGCTAGCTGGATCCCCCAAATATAGCATAATAGGTGACCTTTAAACTGTGAATTTTAAAACTACACTCAACCTTGGTTATTTTTCGAGTGTTCAAAGACTACTTCGACAAGCCAAGGACACATTCCTCTAGATAAACTAAACCGAAATGTCTTATGTCTGACATTTTTAGAATTCCTGAATAAAACTAAAACTGTAAAAGTAAAGGTAACAACTACATCTCCATGTCTTAAATTACACTACAGTCCACATAAGTTTGCGTGTGGCTGTTGTGGTTTGGACTGGACTACTTAGTGCCAACTATTAAAGCTTAAAGGAGACCTATCATGCTATATTTGAATAATATATTGTAGGGCCATACCCTATATTTATACGTTTTCTTTTTCAAAATACCAAACAGATCATGCATTTTAGCCATGCCTCATTTCGCTCTATTTTGCTCTCCTCCACCTTGTCTTTGCATGCGCTGCAGCTGACCACGCCCCCCTGCAAAGGAGGGGGCCGAGTTACGAGTGTCATGTTACCATGCTGTTACCATGAAACGGCAACCTCTCATTCCCCTGATTGGTGGAGAGTTGGCCATATAGGCGGAGCTCCTCGTCACTGATACAGATTTGAAAATAGTCTGATGTCAATCTGTATCAGATCCGTTGCAGCCCCGTTTTTAGAGATTTTGGGTATGGAGGAAAAGAGAGAGGGTTGTGTTTTCTGACACTTGGTGAGTTCCCTGACACTGGGGACACATATTCATGTTGAAAAGATGTACAAAGGTGCATTTTGCATGATAGGTCCCCTTTAGGCATAGATAATATCGTACACAACAGTATTCTTACAACTTTGTGTGAGCATTTTGGAATTGTTGCTTTCTTGAGTTAATAAAAGCTATCATCCCAGTTTGGTGGGGAATACGACCTGAAATGCTGAACATAAACCCTTACCACTACATTTTGGAACTCATCAATGCTCTTGTAGCTGAATGGTGTGCAGGTTTAGCATCTGATGTCAATCCTAAAGTTAATCAAGTTACAGAAGATTATCGCTGATCGTCTCTTTCTTCGATTACACCACCTCTCTTTCATGATCAGGTTCCCCGCTGGTCAAAAACCTAACCCTGGCTATTCTGGAGCTCAGTGAGTCTGGAGAGCTGACGTCTCTGCGGCACAAGTGGTGGGCCACCAGCTGTGTGGGGGCTGATGGGGCTGATGCCTCCGGGGCCCTGCAGCCACACGACCTCCAGGGCCTCTTTCTCTTCCTGGGGCTAGGCCTGGGTGTTGGGCTCCTGTTGGCCCTGCTGGAGCTTGTATCCAGGGCCCACAACCAAGCTAAGGATAGCAAGGTAGGGAAGAGTATCACAGAGTTACTGTAGGTGAGCCCATATAGCGCAATCAACACATATCACACATATATGGTGCCCAGCAAATACATTATTCTCACTTTGTTAGGGTCCCCTGACATAGCACCACCATGACATTTGCCCAGTACTAGGGGTTTGACCAAATCAGAGAATCATGACATCCCATCATGGGTTTTGGAGTAATGGTCCGTCAAACAAGAGCATGGCAACATGTGTAAAGGGCTTGGCACAGGTTAGCACGTTAGCATGCTTAACTAAGATAAGACATTGAATAACATTATAGCCTACCTGCAGAAAATCTGCACTAGCGTGCTAAACTAAGATGCAAAACATTGGAAACATCATACCTACCAAACATTAGCACATGAATATGCTCATTTAAAATGGAGAATAAGGTAAAATTCAGCCCTGCTAAATGTCAGCACGTTAGCATGCTAAAGTAAGTTGTAAAACATTGTAAAACATCATACAGTACCTGCTAAATATTAGCACGTTATCATGGAGAGCAATGGAAAACACCATACCTGTGCCCTGTACTACGAAGCCAGTTCAACATACCCTGGATATGTTTGAGTGCTTTCACTGAGTTGATCTCTTATCTGCAATATTTCAAAAATACTGCTGCTGGTTTATAAAGCTTTGAATGGTTTATGCCCAAAATACATTTCTGACCTCCTGCTAAATTATGAACCATCCAGATCTCTCAGGTCTTCTGGGACTGGTCAGCTTTCTGTCCCCAGAGTCAGAACTAAACATGGAGAAGCAGCGTTCAGTTATTATGCTCCAAATATCTGGAACAAACTCCCAGAAACCTGCAGGTCCGCTGCAACTCTGACTACTTTTAAATCCAGACTAAAGACTTTTCTTTTTGTCGCTGCTTTTAATTGAACTATTCATATCTTAAACTGCACTGTAACTTTTATCCATGTATTTTTTCTTTTAATGTTTATTTTATTATCTTTTCTTTTTAATGACTGATTTTAGATGCCATTTTCTTAATGTCTTTCATTTTTTGTAAAGCACTTTGAATTGCCTTGTGTTGAAAGGTGCTATATAAATAAACTTGCCTTGCCTTTTGATCCGGGGTGACCATAGCGGGGCGACACTCAGACCGAACCCCTCCTTTGTTCCCAAGAAGCTAAGGAGTTCGTTCAGGTCGAGGGTTATACAGTTTAACGGCTTTAATCTTCCATATTGGGGCCAGGGAGGCTAAATTGCACCTCCTCTGCCCGGTTCGTGCGCTGGCATGTTATGTAGAGCGCACGGCTGCCTGTAGGCGCACTGAACAGCTTTTTGTGTGCTTTGGGGAGGGTGTGGCTGGTAAAGCTCTGTCCAAGAAACGCCTGACAAGATAGCTCTGCGAGTGCATTTCACATGCCTACGGACAGGCGGGGAGGGTGTTCCCCACTGGGGTCCGTGCACACTCTACACCGGGTATGGCTGTGTCAACAGCCTTGTTCAACGGCGTGAGTGTGGAGGACATATGCACGGCGGCGTCTTGGTCTACGCCGGGCCCCTTCGTAAAGGTCTTATCTCTTGGACATGTCTGACTCCTTCTCATCGTCGGTGCTTGCTGGGGCAACACACGACTGGTGAGAGGGGGGGGGGGCTGTGGGTCAGTAGGTATCTGACCCCCCCCCCCCCCCCGGGACATAGTGCGCTTATGTTTTCCCATGGAACGTAGTATGCTGTAAACCCCGTACAGGACTGGAGGACTCTCCTCGCCTTCCACACTATTTTCCATGCACGAGGTAAGCGTGTGTGAGTGTGGGGACCAAAAGCCGGTCAGGGGCAGTGTTATGAGTAGATGTTGTTGAACGACAGGGCGTTTATCCATCAGGGCTCCACCCACTGTACCCATAGAGTCCAGTAGAGGGCGGAGCCTGTGTGAAATATAACGGGGGTTACGTATTGTAACCCTGGTTATATAAGCACAGGCGGAGCCCTCTACCTAGGGGCCCTGTCTTTCCTATGCCGCTCGCTGAAGAGGGTGTAGGATGACAGGCAGGAGGCGTAGCCACCTTATATACTGTGGGCCTGCGCGCGCATTCAGGTAGGCTCGTCCCGATTCGCCGGCTACGTTTATGCAACTCAGTATGTGAATGCTTGCATAGCATGGTTAAGGGTAGTACCCTTAGAGTCCAGTAGAGGGCTCCGCCTGTGCTTATATAACCAGGGTTACAATATGTAACCCCCCGTTTTCTTTACCTTTCCTTCCACAGAAATCCTGCTGCTCGGTGCTGACATCAGAGCTTAACCGACGATTTGGCAGCAAGCGGGCGAGTGCAGACCAAGAAGATTCAGACAAGAACAAAGCTTAGAGGAAAAGTTGACATGTTAGTTTTTAATAAGATAGTCAGAGAAGAGAAAAGTTGAGAGCCATTGTCCTGTTCCTTCGAAAAGACTACACTAGCTTTCTGTGTCTCCGTAGTATCAGCCCTGTGTTTTCTGTATGTCTCCTACTTTCTTAGTATAGCTTGTTGACCACATGGGACACATCCACTTGCAGCTACAGCGTACTAAGCAACAAAATAAGATACTTAGAGTTCAAAACTGCAAATATGTATCATTCTGGTTTATTTCAATGTTGATGCATGATATTAGATATCCAAATCCAATCCCCTTACTAATGTTTATATTTCTTGTTTAACTGAAATAGTTTTGTAACGATTTCTATTTGTATGTATATTCCAAATAAATCCCCCAATTTTCCCAGATGTTCTCTCGTTTCAAAGTATACAATACAACTTTATAGTTAATGGTGTTTGTTTTTGACTGCATTGTAATAGAACAACACATTATACGACATGTAACATGAAAGACAAAAACAGAATAGAAGTCAATAAACAGGAATACTGATAATGGTTTCCAGAAAAGTAGTAACACCCCCTGATTACATGTTTTAAGTGCACAAATAAATACTGGTATATAAATAATGGATCAAATGACTGTATTTAAAATGTGACACTTGACCAACAGCTTTTTAGCATATTTAAGCTAATCGTTTTCTTTCACTTCCCTGAGTTTTACTTAATCAACCTACTCTGATGAACATACTACTTGCCCAGCACTAAACACAGTTGAGTTACCTGGTAGGGGTGTCTGCATTTGGTATAATGTATACACTAAATCTCTGTACTAGTAAAGCTATCTTCATGTAAAGTTTATCCATAATTATATCTGCCAACGAAGTGAAAGAAAGACATGGGCGGTTCTGGTGGGCCTAAAGGAGATTCTATGATAATACTATTTTTGATAGTGTTGCAGCAAAGACTCAGTTGTAACTTCAGCCGAGGTTGCTGTAATGCAGCGTTTCGGACCCGCCGGTGCGGTACTGGCGCTGTGAAAGTCCACGGACCACCTATGGCAGAGCCAGTGGCCCACCGAAGGCAGCAGCCCACCAACGACAGCGGCCCACCGGGAAAAGTCCCGAATCTCCCGATGGCCAATCCGAGCCTGCTCACACACACACACAAGTGAAACCAAAATAATTTCCAGACATATGTAAAAATCTCTCTTACACACATGTGAAACGCTCTCTCACACACACACACACACACACACACACACACACACACACACACACACACACACACACACACACACACACACACACACACACACACACACACACACACACACACACACACACACACACACACACACACACACACACACACACAACAGCGTTGCAGTCGGGATGAAAAGCAATGTGGAGCGGCACCTCACCACTTCATAAGGAGTTTAACCGTGACACTTTTTGAAATCCCGTTTGTGTCCCCCCACTTTACAAATAGGCCTATGTTTATTATTATTTTTTAACGCAAGCCACGGAGGAGCACACAGCCTCTGTGAGCGAGCGAGACACAGAGCGAGAAAGAGAGAGCACACCTTTATCTATTTAATATAGCCTATAAAAGTAAGAAATCATTCCAATGTGTACTATAGGACAGTAAAAAAAAAAACAGTTTAAAAGGAGAGTGATTAGTAAAATATGCATAAATAAGAAGAAAGAATGCTAACTATCGGTAACATAAAATAAGAATAAACTAGTTCAATGATTTGTTATTGGTTGTGATCATATTCTAAAGACGTTCTTTCTCCCTTTCATATGAGTGTTGAGAGCTGTATCCATAAATTCATTTTGCTCTCAGAGTGCACCAGATTGATGCATTTAACTTCAACATTTAAAAACAAATCTTCCCGGGGGAGCATGCCCCCGGACCCCCCTAGAGGAGGTGAGGTCCACCCCCAAATAGAGCAGGACAAAATAATTAAATTGCATACATTTTCTTTTAGTAAACACTGAAAACGGGTCCCACAGACCCAAACAGCACACGAAGGTTAAAGGTAAGCATATCATAATGTTAAAATGTGCTAAATATATACACTGCAAAAAAACAAAAAAGAGGAGTAAAAGTAACCCTCGACTTGTTTTATTTTTTGAAAGTAGCTCTCATCCTAAAAAAGGTTGGAGACCCTGTTATAGAACGATACATTGGACAATTTTAAGCTTGGCCTACCATTTTATCGGAGCGATGAGGAACAGGTGGGGCTTGAAAAGGCCCACCTGTTCAAAGTGGGGAATGACAGAAAAAGTTTGAGAACCACTGCTGTAATGTGTTTTGTTTTTAAAATTTTAATTTAATAAATCAAATTCTGTACAAACAGATTCCAATCATGATTTTGTATGGGTTTTTGTAGAAATGTTACTACATGTGCCAAAGGAAAGGTAATGTTTACCGGTTCACAGAAAAACAACTGGTCAAGACTCGCTGGAAGGGTTTCACATGGGCAAAGGAGAACCAATAACATTTTGGAACAGATACAAGTAATCTTACAGTATTATGCAAGATGGGTCGTTTGGGCTGTATTCGTTTGGATTTTCAAAAATCGAAATCATTATTTAATGACTACGAAAATTCACAACGACAGCTGTCAACATGTTGTTTAAATCCAGCAATACAATTCAAAATGTATTTTGTAAAGTCTATTTTGTATCAACTCTTGCAGAACAAAAGCTCTCCTACTTGCCTACAGCTTGAGCTACAGTATGATGATTGAGAGAATGGAATAAATGCACAATCAAATCAATATGGGAGGGGCAAACCTCAATTTAAAATGTTGGTAGTAAATTAAACACTAATACATCTTTTGCTTTCAATTAATTATATTAAGAGCAATTTTTCAGTGTTGAGGTTTCTGAGGGATCTCACATAGCCAATTTCATAAACAAATAATAACATATAAACTAGCTACATGCCATGTTAGTGGAACAAATTAACCATGTACCCCACTTCTATGTTCAGCTTGTTATGTATGCATGTCTCCACTTAGAGGTGCTATTGTATTTCAATTGGTATGAAGTAAGTAAGTTTGACTCATTATGCATTCAGTGATCATTTAGTGTACCGCTCTCAATGTTCATCAAGTCATAGAATAGTGTCTCAACATCCAACATGGTAAACAAGTTTTCGAAACACTTACAAAAAAGCAGTTGCAGCCTTCCACCAATGGTCCTGCAGGAAATCAGAAAATCAGAATCAGAAATCTTCCCAAAGCGGGGAAAATTACACCAAAGGGACAGTGCAGATAATAATGAAACTATAACATGAGTAGACATATTAACATATTAAATAAAGAGACAGCACGCATTTGAAAAACATTTCAAATTAAATAAGAACAAATAGGTAAAAGCATTATAAAAGCAAGTTTAGGGCGTAACGGATTACTGGAACAAAAAGACTGTATTCCCTTTTAGTTATAAAGAAAAAACAGATTACTGTTGCATTTCTAAAACCAACACATTCTCACTCCCAACTCGTCACATATTGGCGGTCGGTCTGGGCCCCTTCACGTCACCTTATTACGCACTGGGTACCAGGGGCGTTTCCTGGACCTGGAAACATTCGGGGCTTAGCCCACAGTGGCGGCACCAACGATTTATTTTGGGGGTGCTGTGGCAACACACTCTCACTCCATAATCGTCCAGGAGCGACGTTTGGTCAGTGTCCGTGGCGTGCAGTTGTGACGCTCCTAGGCTCCTTCAGCTTCATAAAGGGACGCAAATAGCTTTCAACTGATTGCAATGTATTCCCATCTGCGGCGGGATTTGACGCTCATGGAAGCACGGCATTCGTTTGTGTCGGCTGCCCTTAAAGGCAATGTGAGCGTTCATTCTCATTGGATAACGGAGAATTGTACACCCGGAAGTAAGTATTCTCCTTACTGTCGATTGATTTTACAGTGATATCTGCACTACTCATCGACTAAAAAACAACAGATTATCCTTGTTAATTACACACCATTGATTGGTTTAAATTGTGTGCAATGCTTTTGTATTTTTCCCCTTCGATTCGGAGAAACAAATGTTTTTTCGGAGTAAAGGATGGCAGAAGACACTACACCAGCGACGTGCAGTCAGGGGAGGCAGGGGAGGCAGAGCCTCACCTGTCATACTCCAATGTACGGAAAAACAACTAAAGAAATACTAAATAGTAATAATAATAAAATGTCTCCACTGATCTGTGTTGTAAATGTGATTTCTGTTTGATTCCAATCGCTTTTTATAGTCAAAATCAGCAAATTTGACGAGCTCCGCTACAACTACGGGTAGCGATGAGAAGTGAGGCAGGGACGAGCTCTGCCTCTCGTAAGCCCACGGTAACTGGCTGGAGCACGGGCACTAATTTAACGCGGGCACTTATTTTGTGAGCGCGCTCAAGCCAGTTACTGTGGGGTAAGGTGAGGCACAGATGAGCTCTGCCTCACCTCAGAATGCGTCACCCCACAGAAACTGGCTGGAAAGCAGGCCCTAAGCGCATGCCTGTTACCATCTCACTGTATGTCACCAATGTAATGTTTGTAGATCCCTTTATTACATTTATCCTCGCCATCCATAGTCTCTAAATAACTTATTTCACGTATAGATATTTAGGCTCGCTGGTCTCATCATACAACGGCAATGAAAAAAGCACCAGGGGAGGCAGCCATAACCTCTGCCGCACTGAAGGGGGCGCACGTGAGCCCACAGGTTCTTGTTGCTACTGTTATTCTACGCAGACGCAAACAACAAGCTAGACTTTGGAAACTAGAGGAAGATAAGGAGGACTTTTACAAAAATGTAATGGAGATTGTTGTCCAGAAGGATAGCATGGACTTCATCTTCAAGTCAAGGTAAGACCCCAATTGTAATGAACATGGGATCTTTCTAAGAAAGAACAATCCAATATTTAGATTTTGGGTATCCTTTTGTTGAACGGTCTGTTTAAAATGAATCGAAGCATCAGACTAAAAAAGCTTTTGAAAATAACCGAATATTTCGATTAAAGTCAAAATATAATATTTGTAAATCTGACTCTGAAAGAGTCAGTGCCTCACCAGCCATGAACCTCACCGCATGTCACTGCACTACACTACCCAGAATCCCCAGCTATCGTTTAGGACTACACCGCCGTTTCCTTGGCCGAGGGTAGCTTGGTCAATGGAATAAAATGAGTCATTTTAGAAAAACGATCTACCACTGTTAGCACAGTGGTATTACCTTGAGACACCGGGAGTCCAGTAACAAAGTCCATGGATATGTCAGACCAGGGCCATTGAGGAATGGGCAACGGCTGCAGCAACCCAGCCCGAGACCTGGAAGAAGTTTTGCTGCGAGCACAAACAGGACAGGCATTCACATATTCACCAACATCTTTAGCCATGGACGG